AAAGAATTCTTTTTAAAAAAAAATTAATTATTTTTTTGTGTATACCGTCAAATCAGATCTGACTGGAACAGGAGGAAATTGCCCCTCCTTCTCCAGCAGAGCATCTGGTGGATTTGAACCATGTACCTCTGGGATTGCAGTGCAGCTTCTTGCCACTAGGCCACCAGAGCTCCCTTATTCTTTGATTTTTAATCATCATTTTTTCCTCAGTGATTGTACCCAGTAACTTGTGAGTTCTGCCTAGTTGTGGTGGTTAGGGTCAGAGGAAGAAATACTGCATTTGCAGGTGGTGGTAGAGAGGATATGGAGAGTTGGATTGAGAGAGTTGATCTTAGAGAAAGCAAACAAAGAGACATCCAATAAAAGACATTTGAGTTCTTCCTCAGTTTGAGCTATTATGAATGAAGCTACTGTGAACTTTGTGTACAGTTTTTGGGTAAATAGATGTTTTCATTTATCTTGAATAAGTGCCTAGGAATAGAATTGCTGGGTGATATGTATGTGCCTAGTGGGTAAAGAGTAGCTTTGCCAACCTAAAGGTAGACGATTTGAATCCACCTGCTGCTCTAAGTGAGAAAGATGAGCGCTCCCCTCCCAGGGATTTAAGCCTTTAGAAACCTCCTGTAGGATCAGCAATGAGTCCCTTCCTATTTAATGGCAATAAGTGAGAATTTAACGTTTTATGAAACCATCACATTGTTTTGCAGTGTTAGAAAACTACACTGTCTGTAGGTTGTATTAGGGTTCAAATTGGCTTCACATTTTTGTTTGTACTTGGTGCTTCTGGTCTTTACTTATAGGTTAGTTCTGGTGGCCTGCTGGGTAACAAGTGACACTGCCAGTTTTTTCCGCAGGAGAAAGCCTGTGTCCTTCTGTGCAATTTACAGCCTCTGAAAACCCACTGGAGGATCAGTTATGAATTGGTTCCTGGCAGTGAACAACAACAGCATGCGTAATTAGGATGGCTGGTGTCATCACATTGTTGTTTTAATTTGCACTGACTTGATAGCTAGAGGTGTTTAATACTTTTCATGTGCTTATTAGCCATTCACATATCTTCTTTTTTGAAAATTTTTTTTTTTAAGAATGGGTTCCTTGTATGTAACGTATAGTTAGTTGGGCCTTGCTTGTCTTCCAGTAGATAACACAATCTTCCATTCTTAAAATTTTTCCTTTAAAAAAAAATAATTTGTCTTTCAATTGGTATACATGAATACCTATTTAAAGTGATCATTCATTAATTGGATAAATATCTCCCATGTTCCCATTTTCTATTCATGGTACATGTTACTTGTTTCTCATTCTTTTCTGCTTTTTTCGAGTTTTGATTGTATATCTTTGTCCTGCAGAACATTTGTGTTGGCATGTCAACTTTGATAATATATTCAGGCTTCATCAGTGTGGTAACTTGTATCAGAACTTCATTTCTCTTTATGACTGAAAATATTCCATTGTACATGTAACTACATTTGTTGATGAATCATTCATCTGTTGATGAACATTTGGGCTATTTTGACTTTTGGCTCTTGTAAATTGTGCTGCAGTATATAGTATTTGCTTTGAATCTTTGCTTTTACTTCTTTTGGGTATATAGTAGGACTGTAGTAGTAGAATCTCTGCAAAAAAAAAATTCATTATTTTGTGTGTGTGCGTGTACCATCAAATTTGATCTGACTGGTACAGGAGGAGATTGCACCTCCTTCTCCAGCAGAGCAACTGGTGGATTCAAACCACTTACCTCTGGGATTGCAGTGTCAAATGGCTTTTTCATCACAGCTGCATTTGTTTACAATCTCACAGTAAAAGTTTCATATCGATTTCATTTATGTTTTTGATTCGCTTTTTGTGAATAAATTTATATTTCTTCCTTTCCAATTTGCATATGATTTTTTAATTTCCCTCTTTTTACAAAGTCAAAGGAGCTCTGGTGGCTTAGTGTGTTACGTGTTGTCGTGTTGTGCTGTTAACCCAGAGGTCAGTTGTTCAGATCTAACAGTTGCAGCATCAGAAGCCCAGGTGAAAAATTGACTCCAAGGAAGTGGGTTGGTTGGTAGGTTATTATAAAACTCAGGACCTTTGGTAAAACACTACATAGATTATGAGAGGAAGGAACATCCTTATCTCTTCGTTCATTGCTTAAGGAAAAACACTTGTTGTTGGTGAGCTGTAGGTTTTTTAATAGATATCACTAGTTAATTCAGAAACTTCCTTTTAATTTCTGGTTTGCTGATTTTTTTTTTCCAAAAATATGAATGAATGTTAAATTTTTTTTTTCAGGAAATTTGTACATACCACTAAAATTGTTGAATTTGTTCATATTATTTAAAATTGTTAAAATTTTAATTAGTTAAAATCGTTTATATTATTTCCTTTTTATGGTTTTTTTTAAATTTTTTTTTTTTATTATTTTGTGTGTGTACCGTCAAATCGGATCTGACCGGTACTGGAGGAGATTGTCCCTCCTTCTCCAGCAGAGCATCTGGTGGGTTTGAACCATGTTCCTCTGGGATTGCAGTGCAGCTTCTTACCACTACCTTGTTATGTTTTAAATGTTTATGAGGGCCTGTGTTGATTGTTCTACTTTGAATTTCTGGTATTGGTAATTTGTGTTTTCTCTTTTTCTGATGGGTTTGACTCCTCATTTTATTGTCATTAAGTTGGAATCAACTCATAACTGATCTTCTGTGTGATTTCAGAGGTTATAAATCACATAGACCTTTGCCCATCCTTCTCCTACAGAGCTAGTGGATTAGAACCACCAGAGCGGTGTGTGGCTTTCGAGTTAGCAACACTACTCTCTATAATACTAGACCATCAGAGCTTCCTGATTGGTCTAACTAGAAGCTTTCTATAATATTGATCTTGTGATAAGCTAGTATAAAGTTAAATTTATTTACTCGATTATATTGGCACAGTGATTACAGTGTTCACCTGCTAGCCAGAAGACAGTGGTTGGAAACATCTGGTTCTGTGGGATAAAGATGTGACCATCTGCTTCTGTAAGATTTAGAGCCTTGGAAAGCTGGGGACAGGAAACTAGGGTTACTTATGAGTTGGAATCAGCTTAAAGGCAATTAATTTGATGGTCTTGGTTTACTTAACTTTTTTTTCTATTTCATGAGTTTCACTCTTGTACTCTGTTTACTGTAGGTTTATTTTTCTTGTTTTGTGATCTTTCTAAATGTAGTGAGGCTGTGTATTTCCTTCTAAGCATGGTTGAAGCTACATCTCACAAACATAGGTCTGTTTTCGCTTTTATTCAGAATATTTAAATGCCAAGAATTTAGAAGGAAGGAAATAATGATGAGTAACTTAGATGAAATGCACAAATCCCTTAAAAAACAAAAAACTATTTAGATCACCCAAGTTGATATGATTAAAAAATTATTCCCTCCTTATACGTTTTATTTAAAAGTTTATGAGAACAGTACTTTCTTTATGAGAATTTTTAAAATTATGCATTCAGTTTCTTTCATGGGTAGTATGCTGTTCTTATTTTCTATTTGCTAAAGCTCATAAATTCTGATGTTAAGCATTTTAATTTAATTAAAAACATTTAATACTTGTGATTTTCTTTTGACCTCTAGATTATTTAGAAATGTGCTGTTTAATTTTCAAATATTTTTGAATTTTATCAGATAACTTTTCTATTTACTTATACTTTGATAAGAGAATAAGTCTTTTATGTTTCTTGGATGTTTGCATTTTCTTTGAGCTATCAATTCTTGTTTTTTTCTGTTTTTCTATTTGATCAATATCTTTTCAGTTTTCTTAAACTTTGCAATTATCACAGAAGTAGGCCTTTATTATTATTGTTGTTATGTCTATCAAGTCAATTACAACTCAAAATGACCCTACCTTGAACTTAGCCCTATCCTTAGTCAGTCTCACTGTCTCTGACACACCTGAACCCATTGCCACAGCCTCTGTGTCAGTCTTTCTCATCCAGGATTTTCCTCCTCTGTGCTGATCTTCCACTCTTCCAAGCATGATATTCTTCAAAAACTGATCCCTCCTGGCAACATGCTGAAAGTATATAAGATGGATTTTCAAATTCTTTTCTCCAAGGAGCATACTGGTTTCACCCTCTTCAGAACAGACCTGTTTGTTCTCTTGGTAGTCCATGGTGTTGTTCAGTACTCTTCTGTAACACCACAACTCAAAGGAACCAATTCTTCTTCTGTCATCTTTACTCATTGTCCAGCTCTCAGATGCATAGCAAGCAGTTGAGAAGACCATGGCCTGGATCAGGGACACCTTAGTCTCTAGACTGGCATCATTGCTCTTTGGCTCTCTGGAGAAGTCCTTGACAGCAGATTTTCCCAAAGCAACTTGTCTTTTGATTTCCTGACTGCTGGTGTCAAGGGTGTTGATTATTAATCCAAGTGAGATAAAATTGTTAACAACCTCAATCTTTTCGTCATCTATCATGATGCTGCCAGTTGGCCTAATGGTGAGAATCTTTGTTTTCTTGATGTTGAGATGCAATCCATATTGAAGTCCGTAGTCTTTGACCCTCTATAGCAAATGCTTCAAGTCTTTTCAGTTTTGGTGAGCAACAAGGTTGTGTTATCTGCATAATGCAGGTAGTTGATGAATCTTCCTCCAATTCTGTTGTCACATTCTTCTACATAAAGTCCACCTTTTTTTTATAGTGCCAATTTTAAATACACCTTTATTTGAGACATTGCATTTTGCACTTACAATACAGTGATAATAAAGTGCAATATTAATTCCTTTCCCTACACAAATTCCATATTCAAGTATTGAGAATGCCCAGCAATTTAGTCTAGCAGTTTAGACTTTGCAGCTGCAGTGTGCTACAAATTTGGGTCCTTCAAAATTTAACTGTGGGACAGTGAATGCTAAAGTATTCAGATTGGTTTAGTCAACCTCGTCAGAAGAGGCATTACCAGATGGAGGCATTCCACCATCAGGGAATCCTCCAGGCCTGCCTCCACTCTGGTCCAGCTTGGTGATGATGGGGTGCATACCTTCTCTAGCTCCTTTTGTTGATGCTCAAGTTCCTCCTTTTCTGCAGTCTGATTCTTATCAAGCCAGTTGATAATTTCATTGCAAGGATCTTCTGCTTGTCTTTGTCATTGATTTGCCTTGAATCTTTTCAACTATTGCTTTCATGTTAAATGTGTAAGACTCAAGGGAATTCTTAGAAGACATCTTATGCTTCTCATCTTCAGCTTTGTATTTCTCAGCCTCCTGGACCATTCATTCCATGTCTTCTTTATTCAAGCGGCACTTATCATTGGTGATGGTAATCTTGTTTTCCTTCTGAGTGCTCTTGTCAACAGCAGAAACATTAAGAATACCATTGGCATCAGTATCAAAGGTAACTTCAATCTGAGGAACACCATGAGGTGCCAGTGGTATCCCATTGAGTTCAGACTTGCCAAGCAGGTTGTTATCTTTGATCATGGTACGTTCACCTTCATAAACCTGAATGGGAACACCAGGCTGGTTGTCCGAGTAGGATTTGAAGGTCTGCATCTGCTTGGTAGTAATGGTAGTATTCCGCTTGATGAGGACAGTCATGACTCTACCAGCAGTTTCAATACCAAGGGAAAGGGGAGTGACATCCAGGACCAGCAAATCTTGAACATTTTTAGATTTGTCTCCAGAGAGAATGGCCCCCTGGACAGCTGCACCATAAGCAACAGCCTCATCTGGGTTGATGTTCTTGTTCAATTCCTTTCCATTAAAGAAATCCTGACGTAGTTTGTGAATCTTGGGAATTCTGGTAGAACCACCCACCAGGGCGATATCATGGATCTATGATGTTGTCTAGCTTGGCATCCCTCAGGGCTTTCTCCACAGGGTCCAAAGTATCATGGGAAAGATTAGCATTCATTTCTTCAAAGCAGGCTCAGTGGAAGTCTAGGAGTTGATTCCTTCAAATGGAGAATCCATCTCAGTACTGGCCTGGGTGCTAGAAGAAAGTGTGCATTTTGCATGCTTACAAGCAGTGCAGAGGCGACTGACAGCCCTCTTTTTTTCACCAATGTCTTTCTTATGCTTGCACTTGAACGCTGACAGAAGAAGAATTGATGCCTTTGAGTTGTGGTCTTGGAGAAGAGTACTTCATATCCCATGGACTGCCAAGAGAACACCCAGAGTATGTCTTGGAAAAATTTCCAGCCAGTGTACTCCTTAGTGGCAAATATGGGAAAGCTTTGTCTGATATACTTTGGGCATGTTGTTAGGAAGGTCATTCTTTGGAGAAGGACATCATGCCTAAAAAGATGGAGGGGTCAAGGAAGGAGAGGACAGTCAACAAGATGAATTGACAGAGTGACTTGACAGTGAGCTCAAGCATGTCACAGATGATGATGGCACAGGATAGGACAGGGTTCAGATCCATTGCTCATAGGGGAGCTGAGAGCCGTGAGTTGTAATTGAGTTGATGGCACCTAAAAATATATTTGATTGTTCACATGAAGCAGAATTATATAGGCATTGGACTGGAAGAGTAGAGAAACTTAGCTTTCTTAAAACATTTTTTGAAAATTTTATTTTGGTTTTTTTGTTCCTTCCTTCTCCATTAATGTAAACTCAGTATCCCCTAATTTCTTATCCAGTCTTTCAGGTTATTGTTGCCAATTTGAATTTGATCCCATTTAAGCAGTTCTGTTCCCTGCCTGCGGCTTGATTTGAGAATGAAGTGTTTGGGTCTTTTTTTCTCTTTCTCTATTTTAGAGTTGTTCTCAAAAGGATTGGATTAGACGCCTAAGAACTGTTCTTACTTACTTGATTTTC